GAGCACATCAAACACTTCTGTACGTAAGTCACACCCAAATGTTTTATCAAGTATTGATATTTTTAATGTTTCCTGAGAATTTCTTCTTTTCTTTTTGAGGTAATCAGTGACACTGACTCTGTAGGAGAGGGAAAAGTCTCAATTTCAGTGATTGGAGAAAAAGGTTATTAGTCAGGGAGTAATGAATGCCTTAAAATCTTTGAACAGCTGTTACTAGTGTTTCTATATGGAAGAAACAGAGCAATATGTTTACCCAGGACATCTTTTTCAGATAAAACTGCCTTCCATGAGAAAAGGTACGTGTTTTTTACGTGGATACATACATATATATATATGTCTGTGTGTATATGTGTGTGTAGGTATGTATGTAGGGGAGCCTAAGCTGATTCAAAATTGCAGGATGGATCAGAATATTTGTAAACTAAGGAGTGAATGAAAGAGTCATTTGTAAAGACTGTAAATACAGTCATTCTGGGTAACAATTTATGATAGTAAAAGTGAACAGTGAAAATGGGATTCATCCAACCAGGTTTAGATCTGCTGTGTAATAGGTGTCATGATTATCCAATAGTGTATATAAAATTATACATGAAATTTTAAAAACCTTTTAAAAGAAAAAAAATCTTTGTTTTCTTAAAAAAAAAACTGAGGTGCTAGAGGTCAGCTATCAGTAAGCACCAAGAGGAATAAAAATCTAAGGGATTGTAAATTTCTCAGGTTTAAAAAGCTTTCATGATTATATATTGGATACGTGGAAGATACAAGTAATAAAGAGTAGTTAAACTGAAGTACACTTCTACATAGTATTTTTGCCAGCTGTTTTCTTCTTTCCTAACTGCTTGTGCTACTAATTATTTTCAGACACTCTAGTGAACTTACTAGTTACTTTGTAAGTGAAGTAAACTGATTTGAGCACTTTTAGGCTGACAGTATCTGCAAAATAACCACTCAAATTTGCCAATAAAATGCTGAAGTCATTATCTGGAGTAAACATCATTTTACAGGTTGCTTCCACAGTGTGGAATGTGAAAATAAGCAACAACAAATAGTTCCCAGCAGCAAATTATACCCTAATCTGGGTGTAGCATTTTTGTAGCTCTGTTACCACAGACCTGTTATTTTGAGTTTATAAACATTGCACTTTCAGTCTCTTACTTTCATCTTGTCCAGAGTGATTCTAACATATATCTAATTAGATTCAGTGGAAGAAGTGCAAAGCAGAAATACTTTTAGCTTTTAGACTTTTCTATACCTGAAGCTAAAGAATCAAAAGACTTTCTGGCCTTTAAAGTCCATTGAACATAGAAGCTGCAGGGCAAATATTTTATAATGCTTTTCCTTCTGATGTTGTAAAGTCATCAAAATTATATCCATAAAACTACTTTTACACTACTACACTATGAAGTGCCTTGTATCTGTGTAGGTATATTAAAAAAAAAAAAAATTTCCCAAAGTTTAGTTCAAAAAATAATAAAGTACCCAGTGAATAATAAAGTACCTGGTGATGATTTCATGTGAAATTCATTCCTTATTATGTACAAAGTTTTATGTATCTATGCAATCTGTTTCTAACAGTGAGAAACTTACTCCATAATACACTTCTGAATAAATACAGGAATTCAATTTCAAAGTGCAGAGTCAATGTATGTCAATTCATTTTATCAAGTAAACATAACAGAAATTACTGTATCCACAGTACTGCTTTCAACAGAAGTAGTTCTCTTATTTAAAGGCTTTTTTGACACTTGTCTCAAGTGAGGTTTTATCAAAAATAAATTAAAAGCAAAAGGCGTTCAAGGTGCACTTCTTGTGCTAGATAATGTTTCTGATGAATAAAAGGAAGGAATTGTAAAGTGTGATCTTCAGATCTGGTACTTGAATAGAGAGAGTCCACCTGCGCAGATAGCAACATCTTTTAAGCTGTCATGGTCACAGATGTATTTGTAATACTGGAAAACTCAGATACCTCTTCTTCATAATTGCCCCCGTGCATGAATCCTAACTCAAGTTTCTTAGTTGTACTAGCTCCCAAACCACACCCAAGGACTGGTATCACAATTTATCGGCCAATGCTTAGAAGCACCCCTTAAATTGAATTTCTATCATAGAAAATCACCATTGAGTTCAGAGTGGCTGTTGTTGGATTTGGTATGTCCAGGATTCATGTTGATGGAGTAGGGCGTAAGGGTTTTGTTTTTCTTTTCTTTGGACAAGTCACTCGGAAAGGAGGACTAGTGAACTATATCAGCATAAAAGAAAAAGTGCCACTGTTTCCCAGATGTAAAATATAAGTTAGCCATCTTCTGTGATTTTATCATGGTATTTTGTACCAGATGTGTGGGGATACAACTTTCACATCATTCCTTCACATGAGCTTTGATTGTCTTCACAAGCTGAATGGCCAACTGTTTTTGATTGGTTTTCATGGTGAGAAGAGTTTGTTACTTTCATAGCTGGGTTTAGCAACAGTACAAGATTTTTTTGAGAAATTATAAAATAGAGCAGTAAATTCTGAAGCTGAGTCACTACCTGTGTGGTTAAGGGAGTAAATCTGAATACTGGCAATAATGACCAAAAATTTCTGGAACTAAATTTCTTTACTGAGAACAACTTCAAAAGCTAATTGAATAATGAGTTTTTGACTGAAAATAACTTGACAAGAAGGAAATTAATATTCTTTATTTAACTGTCAGAAACTGTTATCTCTTAACTGAGAGGGACCAAAACCAGAACTTATATCTTAAAGGTGTGGGCTTACCTTTTTGAAGCTAAAATGTCAAGCTCTCCTACCAGACTTCTCACAGTGTTTATCCATAGCTTTGCAGAGTCAAAGTGCTTTCCAGGTGGGAGGTGGTTTCTGATGAGCATGAATTCCTTGGCTTCTTCTTGCCTCTGTCTGAGTGTTTTCCCTTCTCTGCTGGGTGACCTTAGGTGTAGACATGTTTCCTTGTGCTACTGTTAGTTCCCTTGCCTATTCTGGTGGGAGTAGTGACACAAACAAGTTGCAGCTTGGAACAGAAAAACCTAGCTGCTTCAGGAGGTGTATCTGGAATTAATGTTTGTCAGCCAAATCTTGAACTCAGCAAAGAGGGCATCAAAGTGTGCTCCTACAAAAGGGTTTGCCACACTGATGTATCCAGGTTCCTTCCAGCTAAAAATTGAATGGCACTACTAGTGATACAGTCAATGTATGTTCCTTCTTTTGAGCTGTCTTTCATCTGATCTGCTTCCTTTCCAAATAGGAAAGAGAGACCTTCTTGATCAACGGCATATAGAGCTGTATTTATGTCATCTTTTGGTGAGAAAAACTGGACTAAGTGCCTGTTTTCTTTGGAAAATGAATTATAAAGTGATCTCAGCCTTGTTTGTTAATAACTTCAGTCTTATAATTGTTGTTGTTTTTTACTGGAAAAAAAAAAAAAAAAAAAAAAAAAAGAACACAACAAACTAGACATCCAATATAGCCAGTACACGCTCTCTCTGGTCTTCTGCCTTGTTTTGTAACAACCGGGAGTGAAACCTATTGGCATGCTGATAAGGCTGAAACACTGAGCAATCACATGCAGCATCTGCAGATTCAGAATCATTCTTCTGTGTTCAAGCAATTCGGAGGGGTTTTGAAGCCTTCAACTGCAATAGCATGTAATAGATGGGATAATAACAGCACGTGGTCCCACTTGGCATTAATTATATCTAGTTACTTGAAACACAGCAGTAAGTGGCTAATCCTTCTCCTTCACTTCAGGAATTTACATTTTTTTTGTGGAGGAAAATATGTTGTATAAGTTTTAATTATTGTTATATAGGTCACTGAAAGTAATGTCTTCTATTTATTTCCATGGAAACTACAACATATACAAAGATCATAATAACACAGGTTGATACAGCAAATTCTTAGTGACAAAATAATGTTTTTCAGCATAGTCATAATTATGAGCTATGCATTCTCACCAACATGAGCCTACCTGGCACGCCAGTGGAGGAAACCAACTGTTTGCTTAAAAAATGCTATAACAGCATTATTGCTAGGAAAGTGTTGCCCACACGGTCCATCTTTCATCAGTCTGAACAGATGGAGGTCAGAAGTTGCAAAATCTGCACAATACAGTGTACGTGCTAGGACAATCCAGCCAAGATTGGTAGTGCATTTCACAGTTTTCAAAATGGTACCAGGCGTGGCATTACCTTGTTGCAAGAAAGGCTGTCTTCTTCTGGCCTGACTAGAAGTGATCCATCTCTGACATCATGGTCCAACATAGTAAAATTGGAGGCATTACTTTTGGAGCACCCTTCGTGGGTTTTTTTTTTTTTTTTTTTTGCTTCCTCTGTTTGTGTCAACTTTTGATACCAACAATATGTTAAATTAAGCTGAAAATAATATTTGGAATCAGATTCCTTTTGTTGTTGTTGTTCTACTCTTTTAATGGAAAGTAGTATTCCAAACAGCTTTCTAAACTGGTTAGTTTGAGAGACAGCATTATTTGGGGAAGAAAAGGAGAGCTATGTACTGATTTCTGCCCATGCAATGAGCTGTCCCTGGAGTCCAGGTGAGCTCAGCAGTTCTCTGAAGCTCTCTGAATAGCAACTCTGAAGGTGCTGTCTTCCAAGATCCCTTCCTCACTCAGATGCAGACTCTTTTGTGTTGTCTCAGGCAAATAGTTATCCTCACTCCAATGTGGTCACTGTGTTTGAAAAATCATCTGAAAACATTATGATTATACTTAGCCCCTTGTGTAGCACTGTGAATAACTGAAGTTGTCAGTACTGTCTTATTTCCAGATATATGCAGTATGTGGATCCTTGAGTTGTTCTTACTATTTTCAGCTGTCTAAAAATTTATAAATATATTAAAGGAAAACAGTATTCAGCCACAGAAAGCATTAACAGCTTTTGTTTCCTCTTGATACCCACAAGTACATTCAGCTTATATGTCTGTGTCACTGCTGTGCATTTGCAATCTATTCTTATAATTCCTCCTCTCTCTTCTGTTTTGTTCACAGCCTACATGCTGACACACTACCAGTTATGTTTCCAAAAGAGGAGTTCACAGAAATACACAGTGCCTGATCCTACTAGCCACTTTGATGTTCCTCCCTGGACCATGTAGGTAAAAGAAACACATCTATAATATATCTTTTCAAGTAGTAAGCATATCAACAAACAGCTGATTTTTTTAATTTTTTTTTAATAATAATGCTCACTTTGCCAGCTTGGGTTCTTCTGGAGGTTTTGGACCACAAACTCATTGAATAATGCTTTCCAAATTTGTGATGTGTTTTATTATGAAGAGACATGCAGCTGTAAACCATCATATATCAATAAGTGTTTGGTCTCTATGGCACGTGTATTGGAAATTGCTGTGCATGCTAGAAATGCTGCAATGACTATCATTCATGTAGGTGTACGTGAGCTAACTTCAATAGTAGCTGCAGTGATGCAAATTTTGGCTTAGGCAAAAGCCCAATAGAGAAACTGAGCAAATTCTCAAGCAGTTGGCAAACCCTGAGCTTCTTGTTATTACAACTGCATAACTAGCTGAATGAGAGCCAGGCTGAAAAGGTTTACAGGAATGAACCTCTAGGCCTGTTTTAAAAAGAATAGTACAATATAATGCTTTTGGCAAGTAGAAGAAAGATGCTTTCAGATTATTTCTGCTATTCATCTTGAGCTTCTGCAAAATGCATCAATTTTCTAATGGATTTCAGATAAAGAAAAAATGTAGCCCATAATTCAGTCTTGCTGTAGGAAAGAGTAATTTCCTGGAAAGTGTATTTTCTATTCCAGTTTTGATATGCTACCTGGGCTTAGGTTCTCAGAAGTAATTTCCCCTGTAAAAATTAACTTAGGCAAAGAACTAGATATTTCCAGATAAATTGCTAGCATTTATTAGCAGTTGTCTGATTTCTTCATTGCATGTTTAACTGTTTTGTGATCCAGTTGCAGAGGTATTTAAAACTATTTACATTAATTATGAATCTGTAGGCTGCAACATTCATATCTGACGTAGTTGGTGTTTTTCCACATTTCTTACATTTCTGTAAAACTTCCATGCTGATTTGCAATTTGTCCTTCGTTTTGTAGAAATGAAACATACTTGTGTAACAGTGATCTATATGGTCTGTATTTACATTTGTAGGCACACCCCTTACATGGAAGACTGCTCTTCTCACATACTCACTTGAGGGACTGTGGCACTGACAGTTTATTGCGATTGTTGCTGGAGTGTGTTGAGATTTCAATCAGTCAGTTCTACTTGTCTAAACAAACCTTCTAATCAAGTCATTTCAGGAAATCATTTACATAGCATGCTGGTTGAATCTTTATATCTTTGAAACTAGCAATAAGCAGCTCATATACATCCTAAATCAAGGCAAACCTCTAATTTCATATTCTGAAATTAGTACATAGTGTCTTGAACAACATTATACAGTTGACCATACTTGATTATAGTTGTTTTTGCCTTTTATGTTGTGTTGGCCATTTTCCAGCTTTAGTTTGATTTTTTTATTTCACAGATTTTGAGTATGGTAAAGGCTTGTAGCTTCTTTTTCTTTCAGGTTAGTCTTTGTGAATAAAATCCTGAAAACACATACGTTTTCTGTTTAAGTAGTTAAATTGAAATTGTCAGTATTTGTAAGTGAGTTGCTAGCTCTAGATGGAAAATAAATCTATGCTGTTTGGTTGGAGTATCCAAAATCTTCCTTGGGTTGTAGCTAAGGGGCCAGGAAGAAATTCAATTCATTATACTGTAGAGGATACTGGCTCTGCAGCAAATGCTGTCTTTTGGTTTCAGAGGCACAATTGCCATTCAACAAGAATTGTTTTAATTGTTACTGAAATTGAGAGTGTTCTAAAAGGATTGGAATTAACTATCTTTAGTCATAGCCTAAAAGAAAAGTAAAAAGAAAAGAGTCATATAATTCATTTCTACAAATGTTACAGAACGCATCTCTTTCCCCTTGTAAGTATGTTTGTCAATTAGACTATAATATGACACTGGGATAACAGTGAGCATATAATAAAGTGTTATAGCACCAATCCAGTCTATATCAACATAGCTTTCTTTTTTCCTGCTACTAAGTTAAAAATGACAAAAACCATTCATGTAAATATATCTAATGGATTGCTTTATGTTTATGCTGTTGTGCTACCTCTTAAGGGATTACATATGTGAAGAAATAATCAAATAATGTTCTTTACTCCAAGGAAGTGGAGTAAAGCATTGCACAAGAGTGCAATGCTTTAAACAGAGTTTGTCGGTTTGTCGGAACGCATTATATTATTTGAGAGGAGCAGCATTGTTTTGCTTAGCAAAGGTGCATTAGCTCTGCTGTTTGGGCTGTCAGAATCCTAAAATCTTACTTTGAATGCAAGGGTAATGGTCATTGTGACATGCATTTGTCATTTAACACAAGTGATGCTTGTGCTTTATGAGCTTTTAGCAAAAAAATAGATGTTTGCAAAGTTTGTGGTACAAAATGACTCACTAATGCAAAGTTCAAAGTCTAAGACGATTGTGGTAACTTTCAAGTCTAAGCTACGTCGTGTCTGATCTAAGAAGAGCCAGAGGAAATGTCTTGTATTGTTGTATTTTTACTTACTTGCTTAGTTTTAGAAATCGTTATTGGTTAGAAGAAAAAAATTTTTACAAAAAGGAGTAACCAATACAAAGTGTATGTAGTTTGTGAATACACTTGTCACGAGTTTATGCTGTAAGCAGTTGCACAATCAGCCGGATGTTTCAGTGCTTACTTGTTTAGTTCCTGTTTATACAGTCCCCTTGAAGTGACTTGGATTGACATTATTTCACAGGAAGCATCACAGTTTAAACCGTTGTGTATCTATGGCTCATGTGTTGAGTTAATGAGTCATTCACAAGGCGCTGAACGCTATAATGTTTAAAACAGATGATAAATGGCAGAAATCGATTTTCTACAGACAAATTCCTATTTGTTTCTAGTTATTTAACAAAGTCTAAGCAGTAGCTCTTGATAGTGAAGGGAGGACATAGACTAGTGTTCAGCTCATTCATTCAACTTTGCTTATTTATTTTGAAATAGAATAGTTGAATTCCTTGGAGTAAAAAAGGTGACACAAACTGATCATTTGTAATATGTATCTTGAGAGAAAGCATACATTTTATACTAGGATTAGATTTGTTACTTAAATGAATGATAGAACTATTTAGATACTTAAACTGAAGTGTACAAAATATATTTGCTCTCAGATATAATTCCCTGTAGGATCCAGCATAAGCAATTATTTCCTTACGTGCATTAAAAACTCAAGTGGAGTGGTTATGTCTGAATTCCATTCCCTCTAAAAACTCCAACTTTTGCAATGAAAATCTTTCAGTATCTTTTTTGGGGGGAGGAAGACTGTTAGTTTTCACAATTACATATTTCTATTTCCTTTGGCAATAAAAACAAACAAAAAAATCTTGCATTTTCTAGTCACGTACTTCACCAGGCTGGTCATGTCCAACTTGTAAGGGCTGACTACTTTGCAGCTGTAGGTGGTATGTGAGATATAGAATTCAGGAAGAGCATGATTTCCATAACCTTCAAAGGAAATACATTATAAATAAAATACAGTTCTCTAGGGGTTTACAAAACCATTCTGTTTACAATTTAAATTACATTAAGCTAAGTAAAATAGTGCAGTAAAATCCTCAAGGGATTTAAGTTTGAACATTACACTACTTCCATTAATTGGAAGTATTTTACTGTCTCTCTAATAGTTTATTTTCTATTGAATGTATATATTTATACACACACATACATATATATGAAATTGAAAGTATTGTCCTGATAACAGGACTAATTCTTTCCTATTCTGTATTCCAAATCTTTCTGTTCAGTTGATTGAAATAGCTTTATTTGCTTACCAGTCTTCATTTCTCACTACTTCATTTTTGGTGACCATCCCTATTTGGCAGATTTTCTACTTGTAAGCAAACTCAAACTGACATTGAGACTCTTGACTAACCTGAAGTTCTGGAGAGCACTAGGCTTTCTTTTGTTAGAATATTTTAATCTACTCATCTAAACCACACAGCTTGTTTCTCCCAGGTTATTCTCAGAGGGAACTGTTATTCAGGGACTGGAACAGGAGGAAATCCATTTGTCTTCCTACTTTATAAAAGTAATTCAGATACAGAGAGAATATTCTGTAAATATGTGCATAGTGTATTGCGTGTGTGTGTAGCAATATGATTTGTTACACATGCAGTTTCCTTTCTTTTCTTGCTAGAAATGTATGCCTATTCAGTTTAATACAGGATCTAAATATGGTAGTCCACTTTAAAGCATTTAAAGATAGAATGACTTCTAAGAGAGGATGATAGGATCAGTACTAGGAAGGTTTTAGAATACCTCAGAGAAGTACTTAATTCTAAGAGTGATTTATTCTCTCTTCCTTTTTCACCCTGTGGCAAGACATCCAGACAGAACTTGATCAGGTCATCATTTGGAACAGCAAGGAAGACAAGACAGTAAATCTGTAGTGCCAGACTCCTCTGATATTCACAGCTTTTCAATATGGTTATCTGTAGAAATGATCTAAGCACATATAGGCTTACAGAAGCTGACACAGCTTATATAATAGAAGCAAGACAGTCCCATAAGGGATACATTCTTATTCCCTTTTTAGAGTCATTTTTAAACCAGCTGCTAATTCCCATGTAAAGCTCTGTGTTTCATGTAAATTAATTTCAAATGATTTTTTGAAATGAGAAAACAAATCTTTCCAACTAAATATTATTGAAATTTTTAAAAAAAGAAATTACACACAAATTTTTCTCTAATTAATGAAATGTTTTCTTTTTTTAAAGAGTACATTTAGAGAGCAATATTAATTAAGCTAATGCTGTATTGAATAAAAACTTACTTACCTGAAGGTTTCAGGTTAGCTTGAGTAAGTCTTGCAGGAGGGGATGTTATAGAAAATATCAAAGCTTACACATATTTTCTATTGACTCAGAACCTAACATTGTCAAGAGAAATGTAAGAAGGATTAGTCACAAAGGTCTAAAGAAATTATTTCTTCACGATATTTTTTAAGATTTTCATTAAGGATTAAATAAGTTTACAACTTCATTGTAT